GGTGGCACCCACGCCCCCCCCCCCCCGGCCGGCCAGGGTCCTTCTAACCAGGGATTCGGAGGCGTGGAAATTTCAGACTGCTCCTGCTCCGGCTCCGGAGAAAAAAAAATCGGTTTCGGCTCCGGCTCCGGCTCCGGCTTCGACTCCAGTACTCAGTTCATCCTTTATACAAATACATACGGGTGTAAAAGAAAAGATGAAGGATTGGTTGACGTTGCTTCTGTATTTGCATAACAAGGCTATTTTGAATACCACATATTTTACTGCCTAGTGCCTTGTAGGTACTGTGAAACCGAACTAGGTCAATAATGTTTTCCTCTTAAAAAAAGCAAAAAAAAAACAGCCGGAGTCGCCGCCTTTTTTGCCGCTCCGGCTCCGGCTCCGGGCTATATTGTTTCACGGCTCCGGCTCCGGCTCCAGGCAAAATATGCCGGCACCGGCGGCTCCTCCGGCTCCAGCTCCGGCTCCGCACCCCTGCATCTATAACTCGGCTTCTGAGCCACGTACCAACACGCCTAAGGCAGTGTTCCAAGGGACGCAAGCAAACAATAATGACGAAATTGCGCCTGTCACTTTTTAGATCAGTTCAAAATTCAGTTCACATAGGTCATCCAAGGTTAAATTTCGCCAATTTTCAGGTCCAATTTCGACAATTTTCAACAAACCACCGCATGATTCGGAAATGAATAGAGCTACAGTACCGGGGAAAAGCGTAGTTAATAGCTCTTTTAACACCCCTTTCGCCGTTTCCATCCTCAGGACATTCAAATCCTTCTCCTCCATGCCGCAACCCCTGATCCGGACTGGACCTGGGCGGGCAACTTTATTCCATGCGGGCGGCTCCCATTGGAGCGCACTGCAGCTCCTAAGGAAGCACACTCGTAACCGGGTGCAGTGAGCACTTGGGAGTCTGGTCGGCCTGTCCTGTTGGACAGGCTCAGCCCCAGTGAGTCACCAAGGTGCCCGCCCAGACCAATGTCTCCCTCAATTCCTATCATCCCTCCGGCCCTGAAATGGTCTCGTTAGACCGAAAGCCGAAGGGCCTGGATCCAACCCAACAAAACAAACAAAGCTCTTTTAACGCTCTTTCTGTAAACTGTGCTCAGATTTGACCTAAGCCTGTTAATTCTACACTTTTTATATCGGAACATTTTCATGTTTCAACAGCTCTGTAGGCCTGATAGCTCTTCCTGCGAAACCTTTTTTGGGTCGAAAATGGCAGAACATGACGTCATTCTGACGTATTTGCGGCCAACCTATCATAGCCTCTGGAAAAAGGTCACAATGTGTAAAATGGATGCCCGGAGAGGTCCTAAAAGTTTGGTGGCGATATCTGCAGTCATTTAGGAGATAGCTACGGAAGAGGACAGGGGGCCGTTTCGCCCCCCCCCCCTACGGGGCGCGGGCTAATGCCCTTTCACCTCAGGCTTCAAGGGCCCTTTTGCCACTTAAGGGCCCTTTCAACCCAGTCAGTCAAGGGCCCTTTTGACTTCGGATCCCCCCTGAGAGAAATCCTAGATACGCCGCTGGTTCATGGTAGGTACTTCAAGCAGCAAGCAATATTTACATGCTCGTAGTGTAACATACTAACCCTTTAGCTGGTGACCAAACTAGTTATTCTGATGAATATGTGCTTAAAATGTGCTATATCATTCACTGACTCAGTCGACAATCAACATATGTCTACCTTGGTTGACCAAAAAACACCATTGAATGCTACTTAACACATGAACGTACTGTTAGGTGAGCCTATCCAAGTACTTGATGTGGTAGGGTAACCGGCCAATTGATACAGCATGCAGCGATCGAGGAAAATTGGCATAAAATCAAAACCGTTTAACATTTTTCTGTTATTTCTTCGCATGGAGATGTACAATGGAACAAACAATCATGCAGACCATTCACTCAAATGTTTTCGGAAACCTTTTGCCTTGTTTGATTCATTACAGTGTGCTTCATAAGGTAGCGAGACTGTCTCAAATAGCCCCACCGACTTTCGGTATATCTGTTTTCACGTCACCGGGGCTATATACAAAAACTTAATTTCAAAATTTTACTGTCGATGACTCTAAAATAGTCCTTGATGATCATCCTGTCATTTTGAAAGCTATGGGTCACATCATATTATGATAGCCTTAGCATATAGTGATGCAATTTTATACCCTACCGAAATGAAGTGTCCTACGAAAAAGGAAAAGATTGAATATAAAGGACATATAACAGTCTTTGAAAAAAACAATTTTTGCCAAAATGATCAAAATTCAATTTCCAAATGCAAGGCGTTTAAAAAATTATCTCTAGCGTGACCGATTTTCTTTAATTTCTTTGCAACTAAAACTGTCTCAAATAGCCCCACCCTATGGGGCTATTTGAAACAGGCTTTAACATAAAAAATAACCTTAATCATTATTACTAGCTGAACCAAAATGCACCTATATGAAAGAGCTCACAGAGAACTACATTTTTGCAATTTACATGCTATAAGGAATATGAACCATCTTAAAGGGAGAGGCCAAAAACTGTAAAATCCGTTTCAAATAGCCCCACTTTACGGTATAGCATTCTTTCCTAGCGTACTTCTCTAACCTAAAAACAAGGTGCCTCTCTCATTATCTCGTAATTACTGAAATGTTTACCGCTCCGTAGCACGCCAAACAAACTTTCTCTCGGTAACCTTATTACCCACCTCAATGCACGAAAGTCATAAAGCCAGTAAATAACACCCAAACAGTTGGCTTATGGCTATATCGCTGGCTTAACCCTATTCCTGGCGGGCTCCGCCGGGACAAGAAACTGGCGGGGGGGCCGATTCGGCCCCCCCTGAGATCTCGAGAACGAAGCAAGATAGCGACAAGCGGTAAACGGCATCGGATACGCACGGCCAAGATCTACAATTTTTACTAAGGTCATTTTTAGGTCAGGTCAAAGATGACGTCACAGGGGTCGAAAAAGTCAAAATGGCGGCACTAGATATGGAGAGAGTTTTTCTCGAATAACTTTCGAATTAGTCAAGATAGGAACAAACTAAGGGCATCATCGTGATCCTCTCGTCAATCCGCATCGAATGATATATATGTTGACCTCGAAAGGTCAAGGTCAAAGGTTGACCTCAGGTCACGTGACCTCGAGGTCATCACGTATATCATTCGATGCGTCTTGACGAGCTGAACACAATGAGACCATCCACGCGTCTGTATCTTGTTCCTGTACGGAGTTATTGGCCAAAAACCTTTGGTGACCTTTGATGACGTCACATGACCTCACAGCTGCCCAACAGCAAAACAGACCTCAAGGTAGTGAAGGTTGATCGTATATGAAGTCATGTATGGTATATGGGGCCATTCCGACCCGTTTTAGTGGTAAAAACAGGGAGTTGATTTTTCCCCCATTGACTTAAAATGGGGAGGTCGCGAAATTGACCTGACCTTAGGTCACCGATATCAAAATTCCGAGATATACAAATTGCACATACTGGTACCCTTACTAAACCCTGAAGAGAAGAAATTGATCGGTCAAAAACTCTAGCTCTGGCGTGATTGCAAACTTTTCTGAGGTAGCGTCACCAAACCGCCTCTGGTGACCTGACCTGAGGTCAGATCAACTCAAAATTTTCAGACATGTTGCGTAGAAGCCTTTTAGGAAAAGTCAGAAAATTTGAGCTTCCTAGCTCAACGCGTTTGGGAGATATAACCAAAAAACCTCAGGGGGGGCTCCTGAGGCCCCCCGCCAGGAATAGGGTTAATGGAACCATTTGGCACCTTTGTTAAGTTCTTCGCCAAGTGCAACGAATTGGAGCGTCGTCTGGAGGTAAGGTGTTTCTTCGAATATCTGACTGGTGCCACAGAGATTCCTAATAGCTGGTCCACTTCGTGTGATCTGGGGAATATGATTTGCGCTCTCTTGTCATATTTTTCTTTTCTGGAAGAGGTGTTTGAACCAAAGAGACTTCCTTGTTCAAGGCAGGATGAAGGATCACCCTTGTTTGACCTGCTCGCGGGCCGAGTTTTATCCTCTCAGCTCGGCGGCTGTATTTTTGTTCACCCTTCCACGGTCGCTCGTGTGCAGCAGGGCCACTGCAGTCGGTGTGACCGAGCCGGCGCTCTGTCCCGTCCGGCACACGGATGGGGTGAACGACCTCTGCCGAACGTGCTGTCACAGTGTCAGCCGGTGCACGGAGCGACCGGTGACTCCGTCTGTCGCAAATAGAACACCGTCACAACAGAGGGCTGAGGATGGAGAGGGAGAGAGGAAAAGAGAAATAGAAAGAGAGGGGGAGACCGAGGGAGAGAGAGAGAGAGTGAGAGGGAGAAGAGAGGTAAAAATGAAGACAAGACATGAAGAGGTAGGCGCAGTAGTGGACACCCGAGCGGTACGGGACAATTTATTTATATTCGTAACATTTTAACCTTTATATCTGCGTGCTAAGAAAGCCAGTTGTAGGTCTACATAAATGCAAGCTGAGGCAACTGCAGTATGTCGATCGTCTATAAGTAGAAGCTCGTGAGGACTTGTCACGCTCAACATGTGCGATCGTTTGGTGGTTAGAATCGATGGCACTTCCATTTGAAGAATCCTAAACTCGTTGTCATGTAGGGCCATAGGTCTTCAGCAAGATGAAGTACCTCATGAATGTGTTTGTGCTGCTGGTCTTGAAGCCAGGTTCTCTTTTTTCCTGCCTTGTCAGTCACAAATCAATGATTAACGCTGTTCCCATTTGAGAATGCATTTGTGGTGGTTTGGATGCTTTTGAACGATGGGCTAGGTCGGTGTCCTGTCAGCACCGCTACCTCTCTCTCTCGGCTCTGCCCGGGGCCGATACGGCACGCTGTGCCGGCCAGCGGCGGTCGGCCGGCCGGCGGCTGAGCTGCCGGTCGGACCGGCCCGGCCCGGCGGGCGGGGGTGGCGGCAGGCGCGACCCCAGCTCCGGGCCGCCACACGCCGCACGATGGGACCCGCTGACCCAAATTTGGTCGGCGGTGCGGCGGTGGCGTCGGCGGTGGTGCGCGGCCAGTCGCCGTCCGCCCGTGCCGTCAGCAGCAGCCGCCCGCCGCCGACCTCTGCCTCCCGCCGCCGGCCAGGGCGCGGCTCCGTCTGGTGCGTGTGTGCGCGTGTATGTGACTGACGGCGAGCTCTGTGGACAGCGGCGGCCGCGGCGACCAGCTCCGCGGTTTTTCTCTCCCCGGCGGCCCACTTCCGCCGCGACCGCCGACGTCTCTGTCACGTGACTCCTGCCCGGTCACCTCCTCTTGGACCTCCGGCCTTCCTCTCTGTCCCCAACCCTTCCCTGTCTCTGATATTGCACCTATCGTAAACATCCTTCAGTTGAACCGCTTTGACAGGCTAGGGAGACGCACCCTACCTTACCCAGTCTGCTGACCCGGTGCTGCTCACGGCATATCACCGTGACGTCACTCTGTGACCCTCCTCCTCCGTCCTCTGCCACCATCCCCTCCCGCCGCTGTTCCCCGCCCCTCTCCCCACCTGCTCCCGCCGTCCCCCTCCCGTGCCCCTCCCGTCTACCAGCCGGGCGGCATGTCTTCCCTGGGTGGCAGCTCGTCTCAACAGGAGCCCGTCTGTGTGGAGAGCCAGCGGACCACTTTCCGGCCCGGCAGTCTGTCGGGCAGTGCCGGCGACCTGTCTCGCTCCGGGGTGCAGGTGACGGCCCGTGTCCTCTTCGGCCCGGTGGTGTCCATCTCCAAACTCAACACTTCATCCAACAAGACCAAGACGCCGCCGAGCAAGTGAGGTGAGTACCGGGAGTGTCTGGCGCCGCTGTTGGGAGGCGGGAGGGGAGTGTGGGGTGGACTGCGGGGAGGGAGGGGAGTGCCCCAAGTCAGCTGCAGAGGTCACTGAGGCCACCGACCCGCAGCAGCGGCCGCGCGGCGCTCCATTGTGGAGCTGGGTGTTGCGACACGGACTAGATGTGTGCGTGGCTGACAGGACAGGTCAGTGACCGCTGTTCTGGCCACCACGCGGCTAACTGGCCCTATTTTTACACTGCGTAACGACGATGACGTCCTAAAAACCATTATCTGCCGTTGAGCAGATGTTTGATTAATGGTTTCACAGCCCTTTGCAATACACCGCGTGATCGTGATGCGGCTTTGCCTATACAACGTGGACTCCTTCCCTCTTGCACAGCTTCAGCGCATCCGATGGCTTAAACTGTGTCACATCATCGCACGTAAAGCATCATTTACACGACAAAGTGCACGGTACCAGAGACAGTGCAGCTTTTGTTGTTGTTGTCTTTTTTTTTTTGTTCTGGTGATAATAGGCCAGTAGGTAGGTATGCCACATTTCGGTGAGCGTGACTGATTTACATAATTACCGCCGTTGATGTTCATTGTCATGCATGCCAACGGAGAAATCGGGCGATGTCAGGACCGACTTCCCTGGTTTCCTTCCGCTGCACCACAGTGGACCCGCCATGCATGCAGGCCACGAGCCCGCATTGTAAAGAGATGCTAATGATTGGATTGACAGTGCACACAAGCTCATGATTTACCCAGTTTCTGGCGACGGCAAATTTGAATGCGTCCTGCAACACATGTAGTGTAGGATACGTGCCTCTGCAGTTCAGCTACGAGGAATAGTGCACGTATATAGCAGTCTCCTCATAAATTCACTATTCATTGCTGTCAGCCGGCAGCGACAGTCTTCTTTGTCCATATGATGCTACCAGAAGGACGCACTACTTGCTATCCTTTGACACCATTGTAGCCGTGACCCGTGACCGGCCAACGTGACCAGCTACCGTCAGCTACCGTGACCGGCCGGCCCCGGCGGCTCCTCCACTGACCGGGTGACCTCTGACCGCGCCGGGTGACCCATTGGGGCGGGGTCACCGTCTCGGCTCCGTGCCGAGGGCGGGGGCGGCCGCGTCGGCCGCTAACGGGCCTCCGTTCGGCCGGTGTCGCCGACTGGGACGGCCGTCTGTTACCAGGCGCGTCCCGGCCGGACGGACGCTGCGGTCACGGAGTCGCCGCTGTCACTGACGGACAGGCACGGCACGGACGGGCCTGATATGACACGTTGACGTCACTGCCACCATCGTTTCACTGCTGTCACTGACGGACAGGCACGGTGGAGCTGGTATGACACGTCACTGCTGAGTGCGATCACTGTGTCATTGCTGTCATTGACGGACTCGTACGGCATTTCTTGGCCAAATTATGGCCATCCTATGTCATGTCATTGACGGCAAGACGCTGAGGTTTAAACCTTAAAGGTTACGTAACGGTGCGGCCGTTGTGCTCACTATCCGCTCTATATAACTCATTTACGTCGGTCTTGGGCGGACGGTGACCGAGGTCCCATTATCACGGTCACCAATACCGGACAGTGGACGGTCATCGTGGTCAGTGGTCAGAGTTTCACCTGTGCCAGTTGACGGGCTGCAGTAGCCGGTGCATGCCCTCGCCGCGGCTGGCTGTGCCTACGGCCGGTGACTCTCGCCGAGCTATCAACTGCCCTCTAGCAGAGCGTCCTGCTCGAGGGCAGTGGGTTATTACGGTGTGCCTCTCAGTGCAATTTGATCATGCTTTCATCACTTAGCGGTCTTGAAAACCCTGCTAATTCTCGACCGATGTGGATTTCGCCAGCGTTACCAAAGTCTAATGGAAGTGGTTTGCAATCAATTAGATTATATCATGCCTCATCATATAGTAATCATGTTTTTTTTCACCGTCCCGTTATGCATACTCGAGGGCAGCGCTTTTCGAGGAGCGCTGTGGCCCGAAGGTTTGGACTTTGAATTATGAAAAACGTCCGCCCGCCGCAAAACGCAAACACCGCAAAACGCGCAAAACGCACGCCCGAAACGCCAACGCAACGGTCGCAAAAAATAAACAAACGCCCGCCCGCCGCAAACCGCAAATAAAAAACCGCAAAAACGCCGCAAAACAATGAAACCGCCCGCATCGCACGCCCGTATCGGCGATGTCATTCTATCAAAAGATGCTCTTATTGACACTGTGGAATTGATGACGCGCTAAATTAACACATATGCCAGTCCTGCTTTCATTTCTATCGATCTCAGTTACATTTCCGATAGCATTGACTACAACCTACTTTTGGCTAGCCTTAACTTATATCAGCATTGACTCGCAATGGTTCACGAGTTACCTTTGTAGCCGGTGACATAAGACGAGTCAGATATGTTTCTGAATGTCACTGCACTTGTCTCCAAGTAGCGCCTGAATTGTATTTTAGAGGAGGAGAGGCGAGAGAGAGAGAGAGAGAGAGAGAGAGAGAGAGAGAGAGAGAGAGAGAGAGAGAGAGAGAGAGAGAGAGAGAGAGAGAGAGAGAGAGAGAGAGAGAGAGAGAGAGAGAGAGAGAGAGAGAGAGAGAGAGAGAAAGAAGAGAGAGAGAGAGAGAGAGAGAGAAAGAAAGAGAGAGAGAGAGAGAGAGAGAGAAAGAAAGAGAGAGAAAGAGAGGAGCTAAGCACAGACGATAGACAGTTTTCTATCAACTGTTGGCGTCATGAACCTATATTAGAGGCTACCAAATCTCTCATCTCAGGTGATTAATATTCGCACATTCTTAAGTATGATAAAAGCAAAACGTCACACTAGCTCCACTAAATGTTTTTTTTTGGGTTAGGCCCTTTCGGTCCAATTAGACCATTTCAGAGCCGGGAGGATGATAGGATATAGGGGGAGACATTGGTCTGGGCAGGCACCCTAGTGAGTCGCCGGGGCTGAGCCCGTCCAGAAGACAGGCCACCCAGCCCCAAGGCACTCACTGCACCCGGCTACGGGGTGCGCTCCCTCGGGAGCAGCGGTGCCGCTCCAAGGGAGCAGCCCGCATGAGATAAAGTTGCCTGTCCAGCCCGGAGGGGGGTTGCGGCGTGGAGGAGAAGGATTTCAGTATCCTGAGGATAGAAGCATGGAACGGTGGATTCCACTAAATGTGGCTCATTTTGCTATATGTATTCACCCGCCGCGGCCGGTCAGTTTCTGTGCTGCGGCACAGTATAGCTGCAGGCGCCCGACGTCCCTGCCATCTAGCGGAAGATATCGGAATCAGAGCGAATGGTCTGTCCCTGTTGTGCAAGGGTGCGCATCCATAAGCACTAAAAGTTGTTATTATGAACAAGTACCTAGATCATCACGTATTGCTTGGGCGTTTTTTTCAAAACATTTATTTCACACAGACATGAAACCTTCATAAAGAGGCAAGGCACGCAACTCAGATCAAAACAAAAAAGCAGCTAGTCCCCGTGCTCTTACAATCCCTCCTCTCCCATCCCTTCTGCGAAAAAAAAAACAGTCAAACATCGCCGTCCGGCCCGATGCCATGCCACACTCAACATTTGGATGTTTGGACATCCAAATGGGCGTTTCTTTTAGTATGCAATCTGAAAGTCTACTCCCGTCAACGTTACTATCTTACTGAGTTTGTTGTCGTTGAAAGTGTTTGGCCGTGGAGCTGGTGCCACAACTGATTATGCTTTTCCCTTTGGTCGTAAGGTCTGCGTAACCAGTGACTTTACCCGGAACTTTTAGCATCTCATTGACTTATGATTTATGACCCGTAAGCTCACGTCATAAGCGTGCCCTTTTGCACGATAAAAATGTCTCACTTTCGAGACACTCTCAGTCCTTGAAAATCTCGCTTAAATCTTTCCTTACCTATCTTCCCTTTTGGATTACTTTTTGACAGATCAGGAGATTCACATGAAAATATCTGCGAAGACTCACGTTGACTGAAATTATAGTTACTCACATGCAGGACCACTGGCTGCGCAGGGAGGGCATGGGGGGGGGAATTCCCCCTCCCCGCGGTGCCCGATATCGACGAAAATTTTCCGTTTTCGAGGATAAAAAGAAAACCAAACAACTTCATTTAGGTAAGTAAAGATTGTTTTAAACTGCACAGCAGTGCGTAAGAAATCGAAATCCGAGAATTTTTTGGAATTTAAAGAGGCTTTTTGAGAGCATGCCCCCTCCCCCTCAGCGTCCATGATCCCCTTTCTGGATCCGCCAGTGTGCGGGGAAAACATTGATTGACTATTTACGAATGAAATAACAACAATCGAAGGCAAAGCGGACGCATTAAAAATCGTTTGGCACTTTTATTTAAACCCGGTATCATGTATTTAGACTCTGAGTTGTGTCTCCTTATTATGGCATGGTAAAACAATATTGACTTCCCGAAATTTGTACCATATGCATGCAAAAAGTAATGCTATTCTCTGAAGCTATGTAACTTGATGAAAAGTAAAAGTTTTAGCTTGAACAACTCAGCAAGCAGTACCATGAGTTGCCATGTCTCACTGCTTTCTGAGAGTCCGTATTTTACGACTCCATTAATTTGCAACAGCGCTCACTGTGTCAGGAGAAACAATTAAGGGAAACCGGGCATGGCTGAAAGGGAAACCGATGAAAGTTGTCCAAATTGGTGCACGGCATAAGGGAGCCATTGTCTCCCCAAAAACACGCTGGGATGAAAAACGCCAGAAAAGAAAGCGTGCGCAGATTGGCGTAAATAGCGAGGCTGGAATGGTGCGTGTGAGACACATTAATAGCAAGACCTGTCAATGGGCCATTTCAGGACAATTTGGCACCGAACGAACACTCGACTGACCCGCTTACGGCTCCGAGCACTTTCGCTTCTGCCTGGCTCACCTCACGCGGCGGCCTCTCCATGCAATGCTGGGTGATCACGGGGCGGGCTGAGCAGCCGCCGCCCCCGCTCTGCGGCGACAATATTCCGCCGTCTGGGTGCAGGCTGTCAAACAAT